AATTTTTTTCATGTAAAAAAACACAATTTAGAACGTTGTCTTGGCAAGAAAATTACAAAAATACAAAAATAATGGATATTTATACAATTGGTATGATTTCTAATTTTCAGAATATTACTATTATTATTATTATTGTTGTTGTTGTTGTTATTATTATTATTATTATTATTATATTTTATTTTACATTATATTTTAGTAAAATATATATTGAAAAATGAGCGAATCAGAATCTGAATATGAATACGCTGTCGGAAAGCGGCTCACAAGGAAGAGATAAGTCATAAGTGATATATAAGTATAGAAAAAGGATATATTTTATACTTGAATAAGTAAGTGTTATAGCTTATACAATCCCATGTAAATGATAAATATCAATAAAACGATTGTTTTTTCTTTTTGCTTTCACATTGTTATTTTCAATTCTCGATTGCATTCGAGTGTGAAAAATTATAGCAACATAAAGTACAACGCCGCTCGAATTATCTCGAGTGTGCACAGTTTGGCCAGTTTAGCGCGCTCGAGTTAACTCGAGCGTGCACGTTAAGGGGTTCAGTCCATGTTAACTGTTTTAACGGTTTTCGGTAGACGCTCGGGGCCGGAGCGAAAGGAAACGGAAGTTGTCTTCCACGAAACAAATTGGTTCCCTGGCATCCTCGCGACGCGACGACGGCAAGACATGGCGAGGCGAGCCTGTGTAGCCAGGTAAAAAAAAAAAGAAAAAAAAAGGAAATAACCGGCGTGTACAGCCGAAGCTCGTGTGTATAAATACATAAGAAAAGGCAGGAAAAAGAGGTGGCGACGAGAGAAGCTGGCTGGTACATAATCGCGTCGCGACAAAGAATCCATAAAAGGTTGGGCTGCCTGCGTTTTTCGTGTAGTGCCAAAGAAGAGAGCGAGGACTTTAAGCTGCGCGGCGCACTCGTGTCCCCGTGAACACAATAATGCTCCGCTATTAACCGAGAGCTTGTATTAAGCCCTCGAAAAAAGCTTTCATGCACTTAACGACAAATAATATGAGAAGTGGTGCTACAAGCGGCCAGGACGCCCGTGTCTCGCCCGACGTTCTACTAGAGGCCACATGCGCGCGGCCGTGCACCTGCAAATAGATCTCGCGATTGTGCGTGTTCTTTTCGGGGAAACACCCAGACCGTTGTTGCCGCCCCTCGTCGGACCTGCCGCAGTTTCACCCCTTTGATTACACGCGAGAATCGCGCGATACGTATCAGCGCGGCTCTTCTAAAAAGCGCCGGAAGTGGAAGACATTACGCGACGGAAGAATTTTATACCGGTGCAAGGAAATGCGATCTTTCATTTTTTAACCCTCCCGTCGGCCCGTCCGTTCTCAGCCCGGCCTTTTTTTTACATTATTAAATGTTGCTCGTAGAAAGCTTTTTCAAATTTCATTTAACCGTTTGCAACACGAATTTTCACCGCTAAACCTGTCGAGCCAGTCAAATTGGCCGACTTCACATTTTTGTGTTTTGAGGTCGCTGTAATTATAAATATTACATACAAGCACACATGCGGAACACGTGTTAGTTACTTGTGAATATTAAAATGTATGCAACTTGAAACCAGCAAACGTCAATCAGTAAATATCAATTGATAAGGAATTGACAATTTAAAAATGTACTCTGATGTGCGTGAAGTGGTAATTAAAAATCGTTTCATTAAAAATGACAGAACAAGCTATTTTCGACATATTGTAACTATAAAAGTGACATGAAATTAAAACGAGTCTTTTTAATGAAATGAAATGTTTGAAAATTAGTACTGGGATAAATTTCAATAAGCTTCCCGTGACTACGAATACTTTTCGTCTTTTTCTACTTTTAAACCATTTTTCGAGCATTGGCGTCGTTATAATGGTTGAAAGAAGCTTAAATAAAAATAATACTTAAGGAACTTTGAAAGAAGCTTTGGATTAATTGTGGTCTTTCTGCTCTGAGTACATATTTGAATCTCTTTTATCGGGGAAATTTAACGGCTAGAAAATGTTTTGTGGAAATAGCCTCTCCCCTTTTCTATCCTTTGGAAATAATCTAAATAACTTAGTAACATTGAATATTTATTACAGATATAAATGATTTTTGTCGCAAAGAAAATATGTGTTCAGAAAATAGCATGAAATCTGACAATTTAGGGGTGAAAAATAGTTTCTGGGTATAAAAATATTTAGGAGAATCTCGACCACATATCTATAACAATTTTTTACATTTTTGATTTGTAATTAATTAATTATAAATAATTTTTCATTTCACGTCCCACTATCAAATAACAGGACAAATGATTCGTACCGCTTTTCTCGTAAGAAGTAATGTAAAATCCGGCATGAATTTTCACTAAGTAGCGCCAATTTATGCTGTGAAAAAACGCTCAAACAATTCGCCAAAATTATCTACAAATGATAATTGTTAGAGTACAGATTTTGGGATAGATGGCGCTACTATGAAAAATATATGGGGTATAGAATAAATAAACTAATTGATTTTCATTCAGCATTTATAATTTATTTAGGTATTTGATATTTTTAAATTTAAGTATTTTGATATGAAATTATCAAACTAATAAATAAATAATTCCCGTTTCATATATACGTGTTCACTCTAAGGTGATTTGTTATAAATTGAATACCCCTTGGTAGGTAACAATAATAATTGAATTAATATTTACATGCTGACAAAAACTTCATTAATATAATTCATAAACTTGTCGATATTTAAAAATTGTCGATTAAGTAGAAAACATTAATTACATACATCTGCCACAAACCCATGAAAAGTTTAATTTAGCGTCATTACACGTAGTGGCGGAACGCTGAAGCTTGTAGAAAAAAATTACCAACAGCTGATTTTGGCCACAGACACAGACTTAAGATCCGTATATTTTTTTATCTCAGGGTCTGAATTAGATGAGGTTTTAGTCACTTTAAATAAAACAAATTTGAACCTGGTACGATATCGGACTCTACCTAAGTGGAACGGTCAATTAGTTATCTGATTGCACAGAGAAAAGTGTATCTGAGATGGCTAAGCTTACAGCGTTGTCAGCTTCTAAAACTACATTGTTACCGCGTTATATCCCTACGAAAACTATCGATGCTTGCGACTTGCGTGAAAGCATTCAAGCAATTTCTTCCCTGCTTGTCGGTGACGGCACAGACTTGGGATCCGTACGGATCCTAAGTAATGCAGAAACGGACTCTAAGCTACATTTTTTACTTGGCATGCTTATGTTAAACAATTATGTGACTATTCATTGACTTGTTCAAAAATCCATTTTTAATTTTTTATACATATTAAATTGTTAAAAATTTTGAAATTTTTAATTGATGTATTTTTTAATTACAATTTTCGTACATATGTATATGCCGCTCGACTAAATACACACCAACAACATAATGGTCTTAGCATGGTACTTTTTGTTAATGACAGCGTACTGGCACTTTATCGCCCCGAAAAATAAGATAAAGAGTTGATAAGTGTAATAAGAGTAATTGTGAATTAAATGTGCTCAAACACTGACGTTTTATCGGTTCCAAGCAAAAAGTTTTTCTTGAAATTGCTATACGTTTTGCAAATACAACACATCGATTTTTTATAACAATTAATTTATTTATTATGAAATCAATTTATTTAGCACAATGCACAACAGAAATATCTTGAATTAAAAAATTACAAGTACTTTAATAAGTAATCGTATTTACTGTAACTGAATCTCCCATGATTTATGGTCAAGTATGTATATATACAAAATATACGATGAGTGAAATTAGAATAGTACGTTCATTCTATTAGTTTATAAAATCCTATCTAAAGTGGATGTAAGATGTAACTAATTATCAAAGATGCTTGATCTGATTGGTTTACAATTACAAGCCCTATGCATGTGTATCCGTAAAAATGTCAAAAAGTATTAGATCGACGCAGCTTGAAACAAAAGAGATCTTCTATATTCATGGATAAGCAAATTTAGTAATATATAACTCAAATTATAAATCGTGTAATTACAATTTGTATTTAACATTTTAATTACTACACATTTAGGTTACCTATCAATCGAGCAACATCATGTTTTTCATCTAGCGGAGAATCCTACAAATTATACATAGGTAATTGTATATCAGTATATAACCTAAATATTACATCTTAACCAAAGGAATTTGATGTGTAGTATAAATTTTATATCGATTAGTATTTTAATTGTTATTCCATTTATTTAACTAAGCCCATTTTCTTAGCTTCCACTTCGTATATTAATAACCTCCACATTTTGACTACAAACACTTCCGCTTCCTCATCTAATACCTAAAACAAACAACACATTACACTATTAGAATTATTTGAATTCAAATCACAACTACATATTAACAAAAATAAATTACCATCTGTACATCATCAAGTATGCCCTGAGGAGAACTACCAGCCATTACTTTACTACAAATAAAATCCACTAACGTAGGTTCAGGTTCTCCGATATATTCAATAATTTTCTTATTTATCCATGGCCTTATCCTTTTCTCCATTAACGTCTGATAAAATAAAAAAGATATTACTGCAATGAATAAATATAATCCAATTCTAAGTATGCATGAATTAGAACCAAAATTTACATTATCTATTACAGCCCAATCAAGCTGATATCCGAATAAAGCGTTTTTGTCAGTAGGAATCTTATCAATAAGAGACTTTATATGCTTCCGTTTCTCCTCTTGACTCTTTGTACTTTCTTCTTTGCCAGGCTTAGGAGCATCTTCTGTAGACTTCTTCTTTTTGTCTTCACCATAATCTGACGCAAAATTCACATACAAATTATACTCTCTAACTGAAAAATATTTTGATATCTATAGTTAATGCTGAATAGTTCACCTAAAGGAACTAGTTTGCGCTTCTTCGCGTTATTAGCACCGTCGTCGTCATCGTCATTGTTAAACACGTCCTTGACATCGATTCGACCTTTTTTTCTCGTTTGATTTGTCTGTTGTGAATTAGCATTGACAGCTGCACTTGGACTAGCCGGAGTTTTGTTACCGACGCCATGATCACCTCCACGATTGCCTCCACTTCCCATAGCAAACGGTACAAAATTACCTATAATAAAATAGATATGATAAATACAAACACGAAATTCATTGCCTTCACGAAAAAGAAAATGTACAATTTACTCACTACTACTCGTTTTTTCTGGTTCACTAACAAGAGACATCCGAGAATCTTCATCTAATGTAGGTGGAATAGACTGAGTTGACGGCGTGACTGCTTGATGAGAAGGTGACGATCTCGTGCACTTCACACTTTCTCTATCCGCCTCTACAACTTCCTCATTCTCATCGCCGTCGTGATGATGATTCTGGTGATGACGATGATGCCTTCGGTGATGATGATGATGTCTTGGGGGAGTCCTGGATGGTGCTTCCGTCTGAGAAGCATCATCAAATTGCACACACTCATCACTATCACTTTCTATAGGCTCAGTTTCTATAGGTGGCATAACTTCTTTTTCCTTTTTCACTACTTTCTCATCTTCTTCGTCAATTATCGTAATTACTGGCTTAGGCTTGTACTGCTCTTCTCTTTCGGCTTTCAACTGAAACAAAATAATTCATCAAAATAATTCATCTTAGTCGATAACAACATTTGACATACAAACTTAAATATTATGCGTATACGGAACACACCACATGCTAGAGCTTAAAAGTATCTTACTCTTTCGAATTCAGCCGCTGGGTCTGGATGAGAAGCATCAGCATAAAGTTTATCGCGTAGACATTTGAGCTCCTGTCGCTCCGCATAACGATCCCGCGAGTCGGCTTCCGCTTCAACGGCTCTCTCTTCCAAACGACGCGACAGTTCTTTGCCTTTATAGTATTTAGCATCGTCTCTATCATCGTCGTAGTCTTCAAGAAATTCTTTCAACCGTTTCGCCTCTCTTTCGCGTGCTTCCCGTTTCCCTCGACGCTTTTCAGCTTCCTTTTCATACTCCTTTTGTTTACGACGTTCCCGGGTTTCCCAATCTCTGAGACGCTCTTGATAAGCCGCCTCCTTTTCTCTTGCTCGTCTTTCATTTTTCTTTCTTTCCTTGGCTTCCTCCTCTTCTTCCCTCTCGCGCATAATTTCTCGCTCGGTCTTTCTCGCCTCCTCTCTTTCACGTTCTCTTTCTCGTTCCCTATCTCTTTCTCTTTCCCTTTCTCTTTCCCGTTCTCTATCTCTCTCACGTTCTCGTTCACGTTCTCTTTCGCGATCGCGGTCTCTTTCCCGTTCCCTTTCTCGGTCTCTATCCCGATCTCTGTCTCTATCACGATCTCTGTCATTCCTTTGGCGGTCCCTATCTCTTTCTTTGGACCTGAAAACATATATCACTGGATTATGCTGTTCTCAAAATAAATTCCACAAATAACATTGTATAATTATGATACCTGGATTTAGACCGCCTTTTGTCCCTTCTACTACTTCCTGTACTACTACTACGGCCCTTGTGAGACGTTGGACTACCAGGATCACCGTCTTGCTCATCTTTAGCATTGCTACCATCTCGCCTATCCCGTCGCTCCTTTTCACGTTTCTCCCGTTCTTCCTTCTCCACTGCTTCTTTCTTCCGTTTCACTTGGGCCTTCTCCTCTTCCTGCTTCTATAAAACACAAAAACGGAAAAACAGGTGAGACCAAATAGTCGAAAGCAAGCTTATCAGGCTGTGATAATAAAACGCAAAAACTAGCAATCGTATTCTCCTGAGTTAAAAAAATAAAAGGGTAGAGTAAATGGTTACTGTAAGTGTAAAGTTAGTTAATGCGTATATAATGTAATGATAATGCCATTACATTAGAATAGTGTAATATTATCGAATTTTCTCATAAAATCAAAATAAATGTCCTCATGAATAAATATGTATATGTATGTATGCTTGAGAAGAGATATAATGTTTTATATTAAATATCCATCGAAGTAGTACATGTTAGAAAAATACTATATAGATTTTTATTGATTAATACTGAAACATGAAACATATACATATATTGTTTTATACTATACCATCATAAAATAACGAACTCTTATTTGTTCAGAACAAATGGTTTGCAGCAAAAGTTCATTTTAACTTCATCGTGAATAACTTATTGTATAAAATTTACCGTTTAAATTTTGTATGAACAATATTTTTAGTATTCAATGTTACCAATACCAATTATAGTATTTCACGATTACTAGTTGCACAAAAATTAATCACATGTCAATTATCATAATTCTGTTCATCTCAATGTGGTTATACTCACTCCACTGGAGCATGCTCGGTCAGCAGCATCTTACACGAAATCTTGTTTACATATCAATTACCTAAGTGCAGGTATAAATTTTGGAAACAAGCATAAGAAATTTCTTAAGCTCTACTTAAACTAAAAATACCTTAATACTAACAGATGCATCGTAGAGGCCACCCAATGTACTTACAACATTGCAAATGTGCCTGTAAATCAATAGTGTCTAAAACTATGTAAGTCTAAGAGTCGAAAGGGGTGAATATTTAGATTTCTTGTCAATACTCAAAAATTATTAGAAAGTATTATACCAATCAGAAGCGGAGTCATCACGAAGAAGGGATTCCACCAAAACATCTTTCACTTTTGCCAAGAAACAGTCACACGTCTGTCAACTTTGTTTTCTTCTGGCTATGCAGCTGATGCAGCAAACTGTTGGATATCAAATGCACAATAGTTTGCCCACCCTTATCGTCCCGTATTATCAACGTAACGTCATAGAAATAAATTAATATGGTTTATCCTTATTCGATATAATAATAACAGTAATGGGTTACTGCTTGGAGTACCCTACGATATAGGCTGAAAGAAATAGTAATATAACAACCGCGTTTATATAATGGTTTTTATAGGAAGCTAAAGAGTGCATCAAAATAATGATAAAAATGATGAAAGTATAACTGTGATAAATCAGAAAATGCCTATCTCAAGTATCTGGTGCGACTTGCGCTTTCTTGAACCTTACATCCATACAGTAACCCATACTCTTTTAAACTAATAAGGATAGAGTAACTGAGTGCATAAAAATAGATGCACATATGAAGAGAAAACAGACTGTTGAAACATGAAACATCAGTGGTCATAGGTATTCAGATGGGCAGTTCACTAACAAAACTACAAGAACCGAATGATTGTGTTGGCTCATGGTTGTGGAGTTTACTCACGGTGTGAAGTTGACTTGGTCAGTCAGTGTGGTGGTACCGGAGAATGGAGGAGCGCGCACCTAGGTACTACATGTCTGATCGAGACGCTGACAGAAGCTGTTTACACAAAATAAAGACAACAACTGAACAGTCGCCATTGTGATGACAAAATCATTTCATTGTGTGTAGGATTCAGAAAGTCTCGATCCTATCAATAATCTATCTAAAAGTACATTATAAAGTATGTCAGCGTCAAATTTCTTTCATCAAAATAATATATTTTTATCAATCCTAGGCAGTTCATAAAAACAATTGGAATAGCAAATTCACTGACCTTCTATATACAAGTACTAGACTGCTAGATATTGATGTAAACAAAACATGTAGGTCTATTATTCTGACTACTACTCTTTTGACATTTGCTCCTTACATTCTTTCCTACAGTCAATAATGTCTAGTACTATGAGCAAAACACATTTTATAATAAATCTTACTGAAAGAATCAGAGAGAAATCATCCAGAACATAGATTCTTACAAACATATTAGTACTAGCAGTTTAGCACAATAAGTATAGAAGCAGGTAAAGAAATTTGATTGTATAGAATAAATTATACTGAATATACAACAGTACAGTGCTATTAGTAACGAAGAATTATTTGCGACGAGATAAGAAAATGGAGTTCCAAGAGTCAAAATTATTGGCTACATGATGTCAGCATGTTGTAGAGTTATGAGATTCTCCCGTCTTAAGATTGCACATTTCTTGTTTTTCATGTTTTGTTGGTTGGATATACTCTGACTTACCGACGAGGCTGCAGCTGCCTGCGAAAATACGAGGGTTGTGCTGTGATTGACTCCCTTCAGAGCCAATGAGTGAGTGAAAGAGTGGTCCCCACACACAGCATTCCTAGGCGTGTGCGTTTGCTGTGTGCGACGCACGCTGCCTGTTATTATAATTATAGCAACGAGTCACGGCTCCAATTGTTTAGAGCTAACATAGCACACACGCACTTTATCACAATATACTTAAAAACTATACTTTATAACTATACACATGTAACTCTCTTTTATCTGCCCAAATGTA